GGTCACCCTGCCCCCACGCCGGGTAATTCCCCCAAGGAGCAATCCCCTCCTCCCCAAACCCTCCCCACACAGAGGGGTCACCTCACCCCCAGGCTGTGTAATGCCCCCCCAGGGGTTATCCTGCCCCTCAGGAGCTGAGGAGTCACCCCGCCCCTACATAAGAACAGCCATATTGGGTCAGACCAAAGGTCCATCTAGCCCAATATCCTGCCTTCCGACAGTGGCCAATGCCAGATGCCCCAAAGGGAGTGAAGGGAACTGGGAATACTCAAGTGATCCCTCTCCTGTCATCCATTTTCAGCCAAACAGACAGAGGCTAGGGACACCATCCCTGGCTAATAGCCAGGGCTCGACAATTACGGCAATCTACTCGCCCGTGGCAAGTAGATTTTAGCCCGGCACGGCACTGCAGCATGATCAGCGCATGCGCAGCGTGATCTGTGCATGCACAGCATGCCAAACCGCGCGGCTGGCGAGCAGGGCTCGCCACCGCTTGTCAAGCCCTGCTAATAGCCATTGATGGACCTAACCTCCATGAATGTATCTAGTTCTTTCTTGAACCCTGTTAAAGTCCTGGTCTTCGCAACATCCTCTGGCAAGGAGTTCCACAGGTTGTGCACTGTGTGAAGAAGAACTTCCTTTTGTTTGTTTTAAACCTGCTACCTATTCATTTCATTTGGTGACCCTTAGTTCTTGTGCTATGGGAACAAGTAACTAACTTTTCCTTATTCACGTTTTCCACACCAGTCATTATTTTATAGATCTCTATCATATCCTCTCCCTAGTCTCCACTTTTCTAAACTGTAAAATCCCAGTCTTTTTAATCTTTCTTCATATGCGATCCATTCTAAACCCCTAATAATTTTTGTTGCCCTTTTATGAACCTTTTCTAATGCCAATACATCTTTTTTTGAGATGAGGTGACCACATCTATATGCAGCATTCAAGATGTGGATGTTCCATGGATTTATAGATGCAATAAGATATTCTCTGTCTTATTTTCTATCCCTTTTTAAATTATTCCTGACATTCTGTTTACTTTTTTGACTGACACTGGACATTGAGTGGATGTTTTCAGAGAACTATCCACAATGACTCCAAGATCTCCCATTGTTGACTTTTCCCCAACAAATTATGTTCATCTATGTGTCTGACTATTTTATTGTTTACTATAGTTTCAATTAATTTGCCTGGTACTAATGTTAGACTTACCAGTCTATAATTGCCAGGATCACCTCTAGAGCCCTTTTTATCCTACGCCAGGTAATGCCCCCTGAGGCACCTTGCCCCACTGCAGCCCCCATGCACAGGGGGGGTCATTTTGCCATCATGCCAGGTAATGCCCCACCAAAGGTCCACCCCGCCTGCACCCCAGCTCCCGCATGCACAGAGGGGTCACTCCCCTATGCCAAGTAACGTCCCCACCAGAGCAGTCATCCCACCTCTGCTCCCCATGCCCCCCCTCCTTCCCTCTGCTGGGTAAGTGCCCCCCCCCAAACATGCACCTCTGTCCCCACAGAAGTTAATGGCTTCACACACAGAATGGCATCCCACCCTCATGCTGGATAATGGCACTCCAATTCAATGTCCCCAGAGGGGCACCCTCACACGGATGCTATGGGATGTACCCACATGCATAGAGTCCTGCAAATCTGTGGGTATCTCAGCCGGTGGCCAGGGCAGTGAGTGGTCTGTGAGCCCTATCACACACCCGAGTCTTCAACTGCTAGGACAGGGTCCCTTCGCAGCGGACAGCCAAGGAAGGCTGACGGGTGCCCCAAAGTTTTACACCCGAGTCTTCGACTGCTAGGACAGGGTCCCTTCACAGCGGGCAGCCAGGGGTGGCTGACAGGTGCCCCAAGAGTCCGCTGGGAAAGCTTATTACACCCGAGTCTTTAGCTGGCGGGGTCCCTTCGCAGTTGGCAGCCAAGGGAGGCTGAGGGGTGCCCCAAGGGTTTGCCCCGTGGATGCGGCACAACCCAACACTCAGCTCTTACCGTGTTTACCCCTGTCCGGCTGTGATCCTTTTAATTGTGTCTGGCTCTGTTACAGCAACAGGAGGAGGCAGGTTAAAGCTTAAACAGTTACTATTTTATTGTTACAAGGCAAACTTCGCTGCTAAATGCTGCTGCTGTGTTACAGATAACACAGCCACTGCAAAAGGACAAGACAGAAATTACACTAAAAAGTCACTTACAGGTACCATGAAACCCTTTTGGTTCTCTGAGCTCTTATTAAATGCATGCAAAATAGACACCTAGCAGGTATATTCTCACCCCTGCGATCCTTACTTCAGCGAAGCCAGGTTTCTCTCAATCCCAATGGGAAGCAGTCAGTACGAGACTAAGGCATCCCTAAAGTCTCGGGGGATCCAAGACCACCTGACCAGAAAGTATGTGGGTGGATCTCCAATTAGAGTGGGGCACAGGGCCCTACTTTATACCCCTGTGGTCACGTAGATGCTTCTCTTGTCATTAAAATGCCAATTAAGTTGGAACGTCTTTGTGACACCCAGTCCCACAGGGGGTCCAAAGCTTAATTTGCACCTGTAAGGTGGAGGTAACTAAATCATTAGGGCTGGACATTCTTTTCTGATGGGGCATCAGATTCCTCTTCTGGGACGGTGTGTAGGCGTATCAATTACTGGTACCAGCCAAGGACAGCCGGAGGCCTCGATCGTCTGCTGGCCCAATTGCTGCTGCTATCTAGTTTCTGTCTAGCATCCAGGGCCATAGTTATTCCAGCATCTCTGGAGGCCCTGGAGCCTTTGAAGACAGAGTTTCGCTCTCAAGGATTCTCTCTCCCAAGGATGTCGGGGGGAGGGAGGAGTTCTGTCTGGCTACAGTATCCGTGCCTCATTTTTACGGATACAGATGCAGATACAAACGTTTATATCCACTCAGGGATCTACTTATGCATATTGCACATGTACCGGGGTGAATTCCACCAGTGTTAGCAATGCTGGGAGCCCTAATATAGATGGGCTACTAGCTGCTGCCATTGCTGTGGATGTTCCATGGATTTTGGTGCAAAAATCTTGGGCTACATCTGCACTACGAGTTTTCTCAGCAAAAAATATGCCAATGAGGGACTCATTTGCATGAGTCATGATCTCATGCGTTTTGGCGCTGGGGTTTTTGCGCAAAAACAAGCCGTGTGAACGTTTTCTTTTTTGCGCAAAAACCCCTTTTCCTGCAAGTTCAGTAAATCTCCTTTTTTGGAGCATAAGGATCTTGCAGGAAAAGGGGGTTTGCACAAAAAGGAAACATTCACACTGCTTTTTTTTGCCCGGATCAGCAGAAAATATGCAAATGAGATTGTCTCATGCAAATGAGTCCCTCATTAGCATATTTTTTGCAAAGAAAACTCGTAGTGAAGACATACCCTGACAGTCACTTAGAGCAGGGTTATATGCTACTAAAATGGTGATGGAGTCAGTAGCCCAGCTGCACCTCCCACTGTTGCTAATATCCTAATGTAGACACAATCATGTATTTCTTTCACCTATAGAGCCAGAATTCATGTAAATGCAGAAGCATCACTGCCTCAGACTTGGTCTATGCTGAAAATCTCTATTGGCATAACTATGTCAGTAAGGGTACATCTACACAGCAACATTATTTCAAAATAACTAGGGCAGCCTAGCGATTAAAAAAATTAATAGCAGTTAATCGTGCGATTAATCATGTCTCCCCTTTGAAAAGCTGCAGCAGCGTTTCAATGGGGCAGCGTTGCATCAAGCCCAGGATCAGCTGGAGTCCCCAGTTGACCCCAGGCTCCATGCAGCGCTGCCTCTTGGAAGCACCGTGGCAACGTTTCAAAGGGGCAGTGCATTAGGATCCTGGGATCAGCTAGGGTCTCCAGCTGATCCCCGGCTCCACTGTTGCAAAGCCCCTTTGAAGCACCGGAGCAGCACTTCAAAGGGGCTTTGCAACAGCGGAGCGTCTTTGAAGTGCCGCTCCGGCTGGGAGTGATGCCTGCCTCTGGCACCTCAGAACATATCGGCCGCCCAGGAGGTCTCACTGCCTCACGTGGGGGAGGGTGTAGGAGGAAAAGCTGAAGGGCAGGTGCTTGTGCTGGAGGGACTTGGGGGGAGCAGGTGCTGGAGGGTGGCCACTGGAGCACTCAATAGCAGCAAGCAGGTGCTCCATGGTGCTGTTGAACAATGTGCACAGTATCTCATGCTGCTGAGACAGCTGCTACCAGCTGGTCAGCATGCACTCCTACAGGTCAGTGAGCACCCAGGCACTCAAGGGTTATGTCTTCACTCGCGGATTCTTGCGCGAGTAATATGCAAACGAGGCTAAGCGTGGAATATCGCCGAGCCTCATTTGCATATCTAATGAGACACCATTTTTTTCAGAAGAGGCTCTTGTGCAAGAAGCAGCGTCTACACTGCCCCTTCTTGCGGAAGAAAAACCCTCTTGCACAATGCCATTCTTCCTGAAAAGTAAAGAGGATTTTTCTTGCGCAAGAAGGGGCAGTGTAGACGCTGCTTCTTGCACAAGAGCCTCTTCTGAAAAAAATGGTGGCTCATTAGGTATGCAAATGAGGCTCGGCGATATTCCACGCTTAGCCTCATTTGCATATTACTTGTGCAAGAAGGTTGTCCTGGATTTGCCTCTGCCAGCAGGTCTCACGGGGGCATGGGAGATGGTGGACACGCTGCACTTTCAGCTGGGCCAGCTGAGAAGAAAAGTGACAAGGGCAGTCAGCCCAGGAGACAGTGTGCAGAAGCCTTGCCCTAATTGTTGAGCTGACACTGAAGGTGTCACATTACTGGAATTTGAGGGAAGCAGCCAGATCATGGCTGCACCCATAGGTGGGGGTGCTGGCCCCAACAATGATATAGAAGGGGGCCATGTGGGATATTGAATGGGAGCTTGTTGTTTGCTGATCCTGTATACGCTATTTATGTGAATGTATAATGTTTGTGTGTGTAGATAAGAATCTGTAATCTGTGTGGAAGCTGAATATTTCTCCGAATGTGGTTAAGCATTGCTATGGACAGGCTGATTAGCGAAGCCCTGTGGAACAATGGCACTTGATGGGCCAAGGACACACCTAAAGCATGAGGGCGGAGATCTAAGAGCTGCCAGCAGAGAGAGGCTGAGGACCAGGTGACCGGCTGAGACCAGAAGAGGCCAGGAAGGGGGTATAAAGAGGCCATGTGGTCGATGCCATTTTGTCTTCAGCTCAGCACTTCATCCCAGAGGCAGCATTGCAGGGATCGGAGAGCCCGGAAGACCTGTGAACCCATCCTGATCGTAGGATGTGCAATAAGAACTTTTAAACCAGCAGCTGCAACATCTCTGCTAGAGCCTGCATCGAGAACTGGGAGATTCGGTGCATGTAACGTACTGTACTTTAATAACCTTACTCTCATGCTTTCCTATCTTGTGATAATAAATCTTTAGGTATAGATTCTAAAGGATTGGCCCAGCGTGATTTGTGGGTAAGATCCAGAGGGTAAATTGACCAGGGATCTGTGGCTGGCTTCTTGGAACTGGACAGAACTTGTTCGGGGTAGGTGGGATTGGGTGCTAGGACCCCCCACCTGTGTATGAGGCCCGGGGCCATCTGGGGCACGGATATTGCTGGGGTGTCGGAGGGGTTTTGCTCGGGAGGCTTCAGGCAGGCTGCTGAAGCGCTCTGTGGGACTGGTGTGTGGCCTGTTTGGAGAGGTCACCAGGCTGGGGGCTGTAAGGAGCCCCGGATTTGAGCAATTCGCCCTGAGCAGACGCCCTCAACTGTGCCCAGACACGGCCCGGTCCGTCACAGAAGGTCTCAGTTCAGACAATGGCAATGTGCTTCAAGCAAGGCCATCTGTTGCCTAGACAACAGGCACTTTCCTGCAGGGGCACGGACGTCCAAGGGGAGCCTTGCTACCCCCACATCCTGGGGGCAAGCAGCCATGAGAAGGTACCAGGAGCCAAGGCAGGAGGGAGGTATGGGCTTGGCTTCCTTCTATGTCCCACACACGCTGGGTCCAGCAGTACCGATGTCCCACAGAAAGAGAACTGCTGTCCCTGCCCACTGGAGGAGAGTGGGAAGGGTGTTGGGGGAGGCGAGTGTGAGTGGCAAATGCCACTTCCCCGGGAGAGTGGTACTGCGGTCCTCTCCTCTTCCTGCCCCAGACTGACTTCCATGCAGGGGATTGGTGCCTTCCGCCTCATCATGCATGCCTGGGAGCAGATGCTGCCCAAGAGAGCGGGCATGACCATTTGCTGTTTGCAGTACTGCTATGTTTCCCTGACCCCAGCCTCCTTAGTTGTAAAGTGTCCCACCATGGAGTCGGGAGTAAGGCAGGCCTGTGCAGGAACCTTGTGAGGAGGAGCAAAAGGTTCCTGTGTGACAGCCTCATGGGGCTCAGTGCTTCGGTCTGGTGCTCCACATGCCAAGCTGTTGTTCAACCCCCAGGCCGAGATGGCCAAGCGAGGAGCATTCAGCCCCTCACAGCCCACTGCCTCTCCCCACGTGTGTGTGTGGAGAGTGATGGAACTCACCTCAAGTGCCTTCCCCAGCCTCGTGAGAGCCCTTGGAGACATCCTGGGAGGGGGTCAATGGCTCCAGTGAAATGACCATCTCCTGGATGGCGGGCATGGTGTCCAGGCTGGCCTTCTCATCCTCCTCCTCCTCATCATAGTCCTACTCTTTCTTCTCCACAGCTCCACCCTCATGGACGCTGACAATGGGTGTAGCCAGGCCGGTGTCCACAACAAGGTGGGGAGGTGACCTGCCCCCTCCCAGGATGGCATCCAGCCGCTGGTAATACTGGCAGGTCTGGGGTGCTGCTCCAGAGCATTAACTTTGTCCCTGGCCTTTGTGTAGGCCTGCCAGGACTCCTTAATTTTCATACAGATCTGGTCCAGGGTCCATCTGTGCCCCTTCTGGGCAGGCTGGCAGCCACCTGGCCATAGACCTCAGCATTCCTCCTCTTGGTGCAGAGATCCTGGATGTTGATCTCCTCCCCCCAAGCTTCAACGAGACCCAGGATCTCTGCACCAGCCCACAAAGATACCCTCTTTCATCCTGGGGCTTCAGAGGTGGCTGCAGGCTCACTTGCAGCTGTGGGGGGCTCAAAGGGAGCGCTGGGGTCGGCCTTGGCAGCAACAAAGGGTGCTGTGTGGCACAGGGCTGGCAGGGCTGCTATGGTACCAGAAGCCCTTTCCCTTCTGTCTGCAGCTTTAAAGCCTGCAGGAGAAGGGAAGCTATAGAGTTTTGAGGGGTGTGGACAGAGTGGCCACCAGGGCAGCTGCGAGAATCCCTTGAGGCCAATTATTTCGAAATAAGCACAGCTGAGCATCCACATTTACCCTATTTTGAAATAGCAATTTCAAAATAGGCATGATTCCTCATTGACTGAGGAGTTATTTTACTTTAGCAAGCCCATTATTTTGAAATAATTTCTAAATAGCCGGCTTTCTCTATGGATGCTCACCTTGCTGTTTTGAAAGAACAGGAGTGATTTCAAAATAACTCTGTAGTGTAGAAATGCCCTGAATGATCAAAGAAAAACCAGACCATGCTGGAATGACAGACCGGTGGGGGGTTATCACAGTGAAAAGAGCATGGGTTTATTTGTGTACCCAACTTATCTTCCCAGTAATATAGGATGGAAATGTCCATTGTTAGTATGGGGCTGATGGGAAGTGTCCTCTGTGCTGAATAAAAGGCATAAATTAGGGGTAAGGCATCAGCTTTTATGGTACTGTTTCTATGATGCTGGCACCCTGTGTCAGCTCCTTTCCCTCTAGATATTACAAATGTTTTTGATTTAATGAATACAAGTAATGCATCAAATCTTTTAATTTAAGTGCTATTTTTTTAAAAAAGATAGGTTGAAGCAAAAGAAAACTTGAATAAAATAGGGAAATAGTTAAAAAACAAGAAAAACAGGCTATGGCTGGTGTTTACACATCACAGTAAAGAGCACTAAGACAAAAATCAGCATTTTGATGTCCACACAAAAGTGACCTTTTAGGAGAGACCAGATTAGTAGAATCTTAAAACATATACAACTGCTGATGGAGACTAGCAAGAGAAGGCAAAAAACACAACCTGTTTTTCACATTTATTTAGGTGCGTGTGATGCCTTAAATCCATACAAAACACAAAAACGAGGTCACACCCATTACCAACCACATAATAGCCTGATCATGGACATTCTTCCAAGAATGCCTAGACCTCTGTGTAAGCAGAGAACATAATGGCAACTGACCACAGAGATTAGGTAATTTCATAGGAAATAAGGAAAAAGGGAAAATGCCTTTGGGAGAATATCATTTATTAAGGAAGCAGAATTCTGAATTGTCAGTGTAATACTGTGCAGTTCAATATTTGGGATTTATGCATCTCATTTAATTGCCATAATCCTGAAGTTCATGCCTATTTCCCAGCCTCTCAGAACTGGCTTTTCACCAGTTTACACAGAGCTGGTTGTGGCTGGCCAGATTGCTCTGGGGCTGCCCCGATTGCTCTGGGGCTGCCCCATGGCCTATCTCCAGCTCATGGACAGGGCAGGCAGCTCCAGCCCTGGGGAAGCTGGTGGTAGCTGCCCAACTGCTCCTAGGGCCCAACTGCTCCTGAGGTGGGCAGGCCGCATGGTGGGTGACTTGCTCCATGTGCCGGAGCCAAGGCCAACAAGGCTGCAATCGGGCAGCATCCTGTCCCTGGCCTCACCTGACAGCAGCACAGGTAGGAGAGGAGGCCACACTCTGGCTGCGGTGATCCTGGCCTGGCCCAGCCCCTTGTCCAGCCACTGCTGCATGGCACGGCAGCCCAGCCCTGGCCAGGTAAAGTAATCTGGCCCCAGCTCTCCCCCCCCCAATAGTCTACTTCCCACCCCCAGCGCCCTACTGTGCCTCCTGCACATCCCATGCACTCCAACGCCCTGCCCTGAGCCCCTCATACAGCCTAACCCAGACATCTGCACCCCCACAGGGACGGTGGAAGTGTCCCGCCCCCGCCCGCCCCCCCCCCAATAGTCTACTTCCCACCCCCAGCGCCCTACTGTGCCTCCTGCACATCCCATGCACTCCAACGCCCTGCCCTGAGCCCCTCATACAGCCTAACCCAGACATCTGCACCCCCACATCCCCAGCTCCCTGCCATAAGATTGATAGAAGACAGCTTGAATGCGTGCATGAAGCTGGATTTCACCAGTTATGATGTAAACTTCAAAGAAATGTGTGAAAAGATGCAGCAGAAGTTCCATTAAATAAAGTCTGAGTATGTTTCATTTATGCTATTATTAATCAATATTAAGTTGTATATTTTCAGTCCTGCAAACGGGCATTCTTACATGGCTCTTTGTGGACCACTTATTCCAAATTTTGATGTAGTTTGTAAAGGTTGCCGACCCCAGATCTAGTCTCCATTGCCTTCACCCCTTCAGAATTTGACCTTAAATATACCCAAGGCTAGGGATGTTAAATATCTGTTACTTGAATAGTCGATTAATCAAACTCAAATTCTTATCGGTTAGTTGACTATTCTGTAGTCCCCAGGAGTGAGGTCGGCAGGCAGTGTGCTCCAGCCCCACTCCTGGAGAGCCCCCCTGCCACCCTGTTCTGGTGCCTATCAGCAGGCAGGCAGCTGGTCTACAAGGGGAACCAGTTTAAAAACCAATTCCCCTAGCAGATTGGCAGCCTGTCACCTCGCGCTGCTGCTTCTGATACAGAGGCAGCAAAACGGGGTGGCAGTAGTCCCTGCCCAGGGGTGGGGTCTGAGCTCCCAGACCCAGCATGAGCAGGAACTGAACCAGGCTGCCTGCCTGCCTAGCTCCTAATACACTTTAAATACAGATCCACAGTGAGGGTAGGTCCCAGACCCGGTGCAAATGCTTATCAGTTAATCGACTATACTATTACATCCCTACCTGAGGCACAATCCATTAGACAGGTACTGTGTAAAAGGTATTAGCCTTAAACTGGGTTATGACCTAGCTATCACAATTTTAGGCAGCTATACATAAAAGACTTATACCTGTGCTTGACATTTCACTCTTGAGTAGACCGACAGTGTGACTTCTCACAGCATGTAAATTTAAACATATGTAAATCTTTGGTGGATAAGTACCATAGCTATTCCAGTAATTATGCAAACACATCATTCTTAGGGAAGTGTTGAACAGTGGAAACTCCACCTAACTACGATGGGAGTGGCAAACCCCCAACATCCATTTTATAACAGGATAACAAGTATTCTAACCACTTCATGCAAATACCTTATTGAGTTTGTAAGCAATTTGGGGACAGTACTCTCTTTGTGTTCAGTTAATATAGCACTTAGCAGATTGGGGTCCTCATAGATGATAAGCACCCATGCTATATAAATAACTAACAGCCTTATCTGGAATTAGGGGAGCAGCTGTAGTGCATGCCTGATCATTAGCCACCAGGATATTACTTTTCATAGTTTAATATTATATATTAACATTTAAGAAATTTACATAAAATAAAAATATATTTATTTAACTTTTATAATTAAGACATTACATCTTATTCCTGAGCAACATCAATATGCATGTTTAACCAGAAAACATCAAACTTTTTTTCTGAAATTTAAAAACAAATTCTTAGAAAATTTGTAGTTAATTTACAAAAGCCATGTAAGTGAATATTGACCCATGAAACACAAATCATGCTAAATAGTCCAAAATATGAAACTACAGGGGCTCAGGTAATGCATGTCTGGGAAGAAAGGTAAGATAATTTAATAATAAAAAAGACACGGGGGTAGGAATCTAAACAGTTCAATTCACAAACTACTTAGGAAAAAGTCTGCTGAAATGTCTGAAATTATTTCAGATCTTGCTATGATGAACTAAATCAAATCAAATTGCCATTTTTCATTTTAAAGTGCACATATTACATTTTATCCACTTTGTGTTTTATTATATAAACTTAAAATTTTAAATTCAGGATTTGCTTGCTTATAAATGAATCTAGGTGGTGCAAGAAGCAAGTATAGAATCAGTATATTTATTTGCTTTTAAATATGACAGGATGGTGTAAAACCATCAGAAAGTTACACTTAAAGAAATATATAGTTCCAATTCTAGATAAAGTCACTTCCTTACCTGTAAGTGTGCGAAGTATATAATGCAATATGCACAAGTCCATAAATAGCCATTGCAAGATCAGTGGGGGGAAGTTTGCTTTTTGTTGCTGTAAATATTGCATAGAGGAAAAACACTTATGCCACTACAGTAGAACAAAGATATTTACATGGTAAACAATTGCAATAGTTGATCTTCATTACAACTATATAAAACAACAAGAGAGACAGGGGCATAAGTCTTCCAAAGTATACAGACAATATTCTCAGCAAGAAGTTGTATTCAAACAAAAGGTGTCATATATAACAGTACTTTGAGTAGCAATTTGTCATTGATTACTGTGAACCTGAAAAAGGCACTCAACATACTTCTCAACTTCTACTTCTACTTTATTTGAGCAGAGGTTACAAACATGAATGATATGCTATGTAATGAAGGCAACGATATCACATTAATTTAATATTTGACATGTAATAAATAAAGCATACTAAAATGAAACATGAAACAGTAAGTATGGTGGTCTAAATTCAGACCAGTGTCTGTTCCACTTCCATCCACATCTTCACAAGAGACTTTATCCAAGAGTAGCTGTAGCTATCTTCTAAACAGAAATAACTGAATACATGTAAATATCAGTCCAAGTTTCTAGTCTGCATTTTCACACTGTCTCCATGCAGCAAGAGATTTCTAAAAGTTAGCAACATTTTGAAACCGAAGTCTTCTCTGGGAATTATCTGTATGCTACCTTAAACTAAGTAGCTGTCTCACTGCTTCAACCTCTAGAAAGGCCAATCTTAAATTCTGCAGGCAATTTTCACCCTATATTCAAGGTAACTTGTCATACTGATGGTCAGCATGCTGAAATCATCCCCTTTCCTTGTTCAATGTCAAGAGCTGTGTTTGGAATATCCTCACTCAACATCTCAGATGTGCTAAATCTAGTGGCAGTGTAATGAATTAGATCAGACCAAGAAAATGTCAAGTTATCTGGCTCATTCCTAGAATTTTAACTGAATGCTGAGGAACTTCCCCAATGTAGCTGCTCAGAGACTAAAATGTATGTTTTCTCAAATTTAGAAATTCACATTGTGCAAGTTTTCATCTTTTTTCTGACAACTGAACTTCAAGGTTGCCTTACCCCGCCCTTTTGCCATCCTATCATCTTAACAATATGACTAAGGAGGCACTTTGAATGTATAGTTAAAGATTTATTCCATCTTTAAGTGGTTTTGAACACAATCAATTCACAATTCTATAATAATTACTAGATATCAAAATGCAAATGTTTTATGGCTCCTTGCCCTGGACTTAGCTGGGTACCACTAAAGGCTTCAACCCATTAAGCATCAAAACTCTCAGCAACTGGTTCACAAGAGCTTGTGTGTCATGCACATGGGTAACTTTTTGGTCTTTTTTCATATCAGTGCCAAATCCATTCAAATTCTATTTTTGTAGCCTGCACTAGCTGGATTGTTTCACTGTCCTAGCACTCCAGCATGTATTAAAGGCATCTAAATACAATAAGACTATTTTAGACTGCCTACAATAACTGAAGACCTGACTTACAATTCACTCCTCAGAGCCAAATAAGACTTTTGTGGGGCTTTCATGAGCAGTTTACAGACCCCACTGCCATTAGCTAGCAACTACTCAGAATTGTCTTTTGTGTTCTGCTCTATAGACAGCATTAGACTATGGATTTGTCTAATTTTAACAGGAAACACACGATATCTTCAAATATTTCCATCCATCTCTTTCCTTGACATTAATTTCCTTTTATCTCCTGAAGATAAGGAGAAAAAAATTATTTGAAGGAGATTTTCCCAGAAAAAAGATGCTGAAGTGATGCAGCCATGTACCTACCACATAGGTAAAACACAGTAGTCTGAATCAAGAGTCAAAGGGGAGAATTACGTTATTCCTATTGGGAGGTCAGAATGCCAATTTTATAGGGCCTCAATCAGTTCAAAAGTGCTTTCATCCCCATCTGAACTATACACTGTGCACTTTCCCAGTTACATTTTCCACAGTAGTATGTCTGGAGAACTGTAGTTTTACCCATCACATTATTTTACTTATCTTCAGAATTGTACATCTTTTCCTTCCAAAATGTCATGATCTGATGATCATGCACAATTTATCCCCAATAAATCTTAAACAAGCATAAGAGGATAGGCATATATTTGCTATTGTGCATGTATTCGAGATAGATACATTACCATCCCGTTAAGTGGACAGAGATACTACTTTGCAGCTTTTACATCATTCTTTGGACATCTTTTCCTGTCAAGAGAAGACGGCAACGCACCCAGCTCAACAGGTGGAAAACTTGACAGCAGTGATTGGGACAGCCCCAGAAGTCAGGGCGAAGCAGATGCTGAGGAAATGCAGGATGGCCCCTTTCTCCTCCAGAGGCGCTCATCCATCGGCAAGTCAGAGGAGGATGGGAGCTGATTGGTCCCTCACTCTGCCCTTTCATTAATTTAAACTTTAGTCCAAGTCATGGAAAGCCTCTTCTTGCTCCTTTTCAGCAGCAGGATTTCTTAGGTTTCCCAGATCCAGGATAAATAAGAATCATAGTGGCTTCTACCACTAAGATAAGCTGCACCCAGACAAAAGGTATTATCTACAGGTCACTTCTTCTCTATTCCTTAACCTGGCTGCTTATGTGCATAAAGAGGAAGAGCTCCTGAGCAGGGATGTAGATACAGCATTCTCTCACAGCTGCCCAAATGCAAACAGGCACCTTGCAGAGACTAGGCATGGTGCTGCAGTCCAATCCTACCCAAAAAAGTGTTGCTGAACGAAATGACTGTCAAGCCTTTTGGGTATCAGCGTCGCCTCCTTCTAAATGACTTTCAGTAGTTAGGTGAGCTTGACTGCCAGAGCGATTGTGTCAGTAATCATACTTTTGCACACACTCCTTAAACTGATCAAATTGAGGCATGTCACCTTGGTTCTATTTCACTTCCTCTACCTCACCTGCCCTTTGGTGAGATCCCTGAAGCAGAGAGACATTAGCAGGGATGGCATCTTTTGATGCTGCTGCCATTACATTAAGTGTTCTGAATTTCATCTTATGGTGGAACATTTTGCTACATTTTCTTTGTATCTTTTTTAGAGACTCCAACTGTCTCCAGCTATCTGTTTCAGAGAAGCTATGTTCATCATGTAAAATGTTAGGGGAGGGCTTTTTTCTCTTTTTCTTCTTTTTGTGGGTATTTCTTGCCTCTTCATTGGATTTCCACTCACTTTTTCGCCCTTCATGTCTTAATTTACTATTGCACCTTTTGTGCGATTTTTTAAGCTTATGTCTATACCGCTTTGTCAGACCACTATGGGTAGAATTTGAACAGAAGCTATGTTTTTTAGATTCATTTTCTGGATCATTTTGAGGTACATTTTTAACACAGACAAGGAATTTTTTCCCCATCTCTCTTGGAAGGGAACATGCTTTATTGCCCTCACAGTAAATACCTTTATATTTTCTTTCTGTTCTCTTTGCTGAGCTGTTAAGTGCCTCACTAAAATACTCAGAATCACTACTGATTTCTTCCAATAAATCCTTTAATTTGTATGCAGCGCCTGAGGATTTGTATGGTGGAACAACTTCACTTATGTTATTGTCTTGTTTGGATTCTGTATCATGACAAGTATTGGTGCCTCCAAAAGAATTACTAAATTCAGCATAAGGTAAAGTTGCAATATCAAGTGAGTCATTCCACTGTACTTGGAACTTTTTTGTAAACTCTCCAGCATAGGCCTTGTTTTTTGACGCATTCTCTGTAGTCTCAGAATTCCGAATTGTGATCTCCCAACTAAAATTATCATCCCCGCTACAATTTCCTTTGTCAGGGCTTTGTGAAAAACTCACTTCTGTTAAGTGTTGCCCATATGTGTTCTTCAAATTGATCTGAAAGCCACTCCCGTTATCAGACACTATTCTCTGCCACCAAGACTTGCTAATGCTGCTTTTTGGCTTTAGGCAGACACGTGCATATCTTGGAGTTTGATAATAATTTAATAAATAATGTATAAACTCGTCAGTTTCATAAATCTTTTGCTTTCTGCAGTAACCTGTACTAGACACTTTTCCAGAGTGTACTGTATTCAAAGGAGGACAGTCCTCTCTCTCAAGGGACTGTATGACCTTGGAGTCTTGAGTAACTGTAATCTGTAAGGACCCACAGCCAGAGGAACCGTATTCATCCCTGCCAGTTAATTTACCAGTGCTTGCTGTTGCAATTGGGTCATTTAAGACGGTTTTCACAAGATGACAAGGTGATGCAGGTAGATTAGTTGGTACCTCTTCCGCATTAAAACAGGTAATGCCTGTTTGGAAGAACTGACTCCTAATCTTTTTCTTATTTTTCAGTTGTGTGTGTAGAAGATAATGGGATTCTCTCTGGTCTGTCTGTGCATTTCGTAACTCTGGCTCAGGAAAACAATCCTTTCTTACATCTTCAGGGTACAGCAAGGGCTCCACATTTTGGTTGCTGAACTGTGCAAATTCCTTTGAACAAAATCAAAGAGAAAATTACAGTGTGAATGCAACAGACAAAATCTGTGCAGAGAAACTATACCTAATTGTGAGCTAATTCACAAGTCACTGTCCAGGTATAACTATGGGCAGAATTTGCCCTATTGTTTCTAATTCAGACCAAAAATCATACAAGGTTCTGCAGCTTTCACAGGTCACAGGACTGGGTCCTTAATTAACTAGAATATTTTCCCTTTCAATAAAAGCCATTGGCTATATTATTAAGCTAACTTTGATGCTTTTACCTGATTTGCATCCGCTACAAACATCATTTTATTCACCCACTTTAACTGTAACATTGCACTGACTTTGCTAATTCTAAAGTACCGCACTTTTGTAAACTGAATATCTTTTGTAAGAATTAATAAACGGCTTTAAATTATACTATTTTGTAACAGCATTAAATATTAAACTTTACAGGTGGTGAAACTAAGAGATTAAGAGGCCCCACATTTCTCTCCAAATGTTTTCTGTGTAGTTCCTCAACCTTTAAAAATGCTTTGTTTAAGATATCCCCACCTTCTGCAGAATTTAACATGGTCTGTTGCCAGTTAGTTTTAAAGAGCACTAACTCACACAGATTGGCTGCTGTAGCCTTTGGCTGGTGCTTGTTGATGGGGGGTTCCTAAATACTGTAAGAAACATCAGGGGTTGAAAAAAATCCACTTGATAGTGGCTGGAAGCGAGCTTTCCCTGACAAGTGATGGAGCCCATGTTAATTACTGCAATATTTAAACTTTCATTTTAAAAAGTTTCTAACCACATAATTAAGAAGGTAATCCTTCAAATGCAAATCAATGTAGTGAGCATGTAGACAAACACCTCCAGTACTGCTTCTTCTGCTCTGATTTTCCTAAAGCATTAGCAGAGTGAAACTGACAAAAGGTGTGTTAACCTCACTTTGGATATGCTGTATTCTGTGGGCAGCAGTGAAAATGACAGGATTCATGTCAATTTTACTCTGCAGTTGGGGAAGCTCTGAGCAGCAAAAGTCCTAACTGGAACTATTTATGGGACAAGGAGGCCCAAAAATAGCAGAGACTGTCTCACAGGATCCTGGGGCAGGATTATAATCGAAATATAGATACATATGCAACCTTCCACCCTTTCTTGTTATCAACATGGTAATAATGAGAACCTGGCAGCTCATTCTGATCTATCAGACACCTACTGGACAGAGACTAATACAAAAGATGAAGCCTTAAACTGGGACAGAACCCTAATACATTTTTCCCTTAGGGGCACATGCAAAGAAGGACTAGGTTAGGGATTTGCTATCGGGCCTTGATAGCATTTTTCCAACTCCAGGTCAACCTTCTCATCGACCTCTAGCCATCAACTGCCTGGTAAATTTTTCAAGCTCTAAACATCCTTTAAAATAGAATATTTTTTAAAAATATTCTTACTTTTACTCGGTTTAACAGCACTGTAAGCAGCCTTATAGACTCCACTCTTCTCTGAGCTAGTAGATATTTCCTCTCTTCCCATTCAGGCATATTCTCTGGCCACTGCTCTTCGTCAGTTGTTACCTTCTGCTGCTTTCTTGGGCGTTTCTCATCCCGATCTATCTGCCTGTGTTCTTTCCTCTTGAGCTTAGCCTTCCTTTTTCTTTCTCGAGCATTTTTTTCATCATCACGTCTTTTTCTAGGTAATTATTAATATGTGACAATTTAGAGGACACTCATTTTACATGTTAACCCCTGGTGGGTGACAAGTCAGATTTTTAGTGTGCTAACAGCAAGTGACTCATTGCTAGGAATCTATTCGCTGTTATGATCAAGAAATCCTTGTGGCTAAGGTAGCATGTTTTAAAGTCAAAGGAATACAACCAACATATATCCAATAGATGTGGAGATTTTGAGTTTCTCTTGAAATCTCACGACTCTTCTAATAATAATCTGTCTCTCTCTAAAGAGCACAGAAGTTGTTCACGTTATTGTCTCTTCAAGGTCATGGCTAGAGAATGATCAGCCCCTTTTTTCTTTATTTTCTGGTAACATCAATAACTAAGATTCACAAAGTTTTGAACCTAATCCTGCATTCCTTATGCACGTAAAACTCTCCGGGAAGTCAATATATAAAAATTAAATGTTTTAAAGAAAAATTCAAGTAATATGGGTATTAAGTTTGGTGATAGATTTAGAGAGAGCATTAGAGTAGCTAGATTTAGCATTTCAATTATCGTTTTTACATTAATGTGTATATTCATGGAATAATTTCCACTCCCTATAACAACTTTAGTTCAGTGTGATAGTTGTTCAGATACATCTGACAACACTGCCTTCAAGATAATAGCAATGAGGTGGGATGCACTGATGAACTGGGACTCTCCAACCAACACAGAGACATGTGGAATCCTGTCACATGTTCTATACTGTATTAATTTTACTTCAGGACACAGTTAGGCTGCAGATCACTACTTCGTTGCGTTACAGCAACCATGAAACACTACTACAAACAAGATCTTAAGCCACCAGGTTTTCTAAGGTTTCCTCAGGTCCTTTCCAGCCCTACATTTCTAGGATTCTATGATTAAGCACATATCCAAACTGACAGTAGGTTACTCTCTCTGTCAAAACTGTTCAACTATGCTGTTTTGCTGTCCTTTCCAAAAGCAGCACACATTGTTAGTGATCTGTTAAGGACCACTTTGGGAAATACAACTGATCTAAGCTTTTACCTTTAAACTTGGAGCAGTCAATACATTTTGGTAACCATATATTGAGCCACTGGAAACATGTCCAGAAGGATGATTTGCCACTTTCCTAGGCTAATTTTATCTCAGCTATTTACTGATCTCCCATTCCACTTCAGAAAAGACTCTTTAGGTTTAAAACAAACTTTTAAATGGAGTTTGACAGATTACTAGAGTGACAAAGAAAAACAAACCATGGATCTGTAAGAGGAGAGATACAAGGGAGGGAGCAGCAAGAACACACAGTGTTTTTAAGTGAGAGGGTCGGTGAGTGTCTAGATAGCTCAATACCATGTCTTCAATCACAATCCCCTTTTCTATGCACTGTGTATGTCTACTACACCTCTCTTAATCTAGTCCTCTATATGTGACACCTATGTAGTTTGACCTACTGTGCTTTTTTGTTGGTTTATTACACCATATGAATTAGAGAACATTCAACTTTCAGTTTGAGTCCTCTTGCTTGTGTCAATTTGTATTCTACCTTTATCATCATCTAGGTTTAGGAGTATTGAGTGTTCCTCTCTTGAGGTTTTGTTGGGAGCAAGATACATGAGTAAATTTAAAGAAAGTAGAAAACTCACTGAAAACAAATTTCTCACCTTGCAGCTTCCTCTTCCTCTCTCTCTTTTTCCCTTTTTCTTTCTTGCTCTAGTTCTTGCAGCTTTTGGCTTTCCAGCCTTCTCTTTTTGACAGCTCCTTTGCTGAAATGTTTGGTTTTATCAAAAGTCACCTGTTCCAGAAAAAAACAGTATCAGAAGGTAGGATTGTTCACAAATTATAACAGACCACATACTTGTCAATCCATCTTATTTATACAAAACAAAACAAAAGTCTTTACAATTTACAAAGCCTCTTATCTATTTCTATACAATTATATTTAAAACATAACTGTTTCTTTCTGCTACTTTTTAGCCACGCAGACTGGAATATGACTTGCAGAATTCACACTGATAGCTATCTCCTGTTCTCTAATACTACTATAAGCATTACTCATAAATGTCACTTTACCCTGTACTATTAGGGACTCATAAATTGTGACAATAAATATTTGACAGCCTGTATATGGTCAATTTCAGGGATTGGCGGCAAGGCATTTACAGTGGAAAGTTACTAGCTTCGGAATTCTCTCCCTCTGACAGATCACCTGAGTTTACTTATTTCCAGTGCACACTGTAAACCTCTTCTTCTTGGTCAAACATTTGCTTGACTACCAACAATCAGTGCATTATAGTTGGCTGGTTGGTACAGCAGGGGAGGCTGTCTGCTGAGAACTGTTTAACTCAATGTGATGTTGTGGGCACATTAAAAAAAATCCAAGCATACAGTACTTTATGCAAGGTGGGAATGTCATTTGGGGCATGATTTCTAAACCATTGTCTAATAGATGGTACACATTCAAGAATAATAGATCATTTACATCTTCTTAAAAGTAAAAGTTAGATCAGTTGTAGTACCTAAAGTGGTCTTCAACAATGCACTAATAAAGATTAACACTGCTAAGCAGCTATGAGCTTTTGCAGGCATGCAGATTTCCATTCTTCTTCAAGCAGTGTCCCATGGGTGCTCCACTGTAGGTGTCGGGCTCGTCCCGGCGCTGCAGATCAGAGATCTTTTCTAGCCGTAGTACGCCGGACCGCGCATGCACGAAGTGCGGCTCGTGGCTTTTCGCGCCGTTTGAGCGTTGGCGGTCCGGCTCCCGCCAGTTCCTCCTGAACTCTGGGTATGCTCCAAACAAATCTGTCCTCTAACTTTGTTCTCTATATCCATCTTAATAAAGCACAGTGCCAAGAGGAGCAAAGATATATAATGCTAATAATACAAATTCAAAAGTCACTATGAATATTTTTTTTGCTTCGAGTTTATCCATGCAGAAACCAATGTCTTCAGCTCCTACAGGTCTCCCTCTCAGCCCCAGTGCCCATCCAAATGAGTTATAAAACCTGATAACTTTTCACTTTTATTTTACCAAAGAAGAAAAAGGTTTCAGAAAATAAACAGGCAAAGATTTTTTCCAGGTCTGTCATACTAAAGGCTTAAAATCAGAATCGAGAAGTCAACAGCCAAGCTGCTAATCCATACAAACCAAAATCTTTATGGAAACAAATCAAAGAGGATGCTGCTTCTGAAGACTTAGCCTTGTGGCTGGCTCACCTGTAAGCCTTGACTTAGTGAGGATGGACCACCAAAAAGTCACAACTTTATTTGCTAAGTGGAGAACTATGAAGATATATAGCTACAAGAGTCATCAATCTACTCCCCTTTCCCAAAAAGCAGCACTCCATGCCTAAATTCCTACTTCAAGTATCCACTGAGACTTAAATATTCATACTGGCTAGCAAAAAGTTCACAATTTGTCTTTTAAAAAAGATTTTGAAATAGCAAGAATGACCTTCACAGCAGTCTCAGCAAATAAGCCTTGGTTGGGCCAAGGAATTTTATACTTTTCTGCTGTACCTTTTATGATATTTGACTAATAAAAGGGTTGTTATGGAAGTCTTTATGGTAGTGTATTTTGGCAAATACAGCATTGGCAGTATCAAAAGATATAGCCGGTGATGCTTACCTTCATGTTACATGCCAGAGCTTTTCCATCATCCCCTTTAAACATCAGCTTCATTCCCCTAAGTGACTCCATAGCTTTCACAAAAGCCGTGTAGTCTTGGTACTGGACAAAAGCTTCAAATGTCTGTAAGCCTCCAAAATGGAAGTTATTTAAATTTCCTCCTACCATTTCTTCTCTATAAGGGTCAAGCATAGGGATATCTACATTCTTGATCTTTCCAAATCTTTCGAACACGACTCTTAAAACATCTTCACTCGGCTTTTCACTATTTGAGCCCTTTAGTGCAAACCATTTGCATGGCAACCCTTCAAAATAGATGCAATCAGGAATATCAGTGGTTTGCTCAGTAAGATCTTCACTCATAAATTCTCTTTTGTTCATGTAAGATGCCCACTCTTGTGGAGTTGGAAAGTCAGCATGTGCCTCGGTGGCCATCACCTTCAAGTCATCTTTAAAACCATTTAGTTTTATTACCTTTCCATGTAGTTTTTCCTTAAGTGTGAGGATCAACCTTTTAGTTTCTGCCTCTCCCTCAAATCGAATGAAATCCTTAGTGCTCTTTGAAACCCTAACAGTAGTAAATTGGTCTGGACAAATCATGTTCTTCAGCTTGTCCATCACTTCCCACTTAGAGAAAGACTGGGTAGCTTCTGTATGTTCTGGAAACATCACATTGATAGTCAGTTTTGCTACTGGTTTAAGATACAGTTTCTGAGAAGCACAGAGCTCCATAGCTTCAGAGTTATCATACACTACAGTGATTGTCATTGTGTCCAATACCCTTTAGAAAAATAATTAAAACCATGTTAAGCTAAAAGACATGGAGTAAAAAGTGTAAAAATATTCTCTAGTGCAAAATTTAGTCATTCTCTCGTGAAATAATTTCATTTAACATTCAAATGAAGTTATTAAGAAAAATTATACTGTAAATGTATACTAGTTTATAATGCAACTAAATTGTGTTTGAGTAAATATACTTAGTAAGATAAGATGTATGGGTATGTCTACACTGCCACCCTAGTTCGAACTAGGGTGGCTAATGTAGGCATTCAAAGTTGCAAATGAAGCCCGGGATTTAAATATCCCGGGCTTCATTTGCATCTTGCCGGGCACCGCCATTTTTAAATCCCCCTTAGTGCGGAGTCCATGCCCGCGGCTACATGCGGCATGGAGTAGGTAGTTCGAATTAAGCTCTCTGATTCGAACTACCAGTACACCTCGTTCCACGAGGAGTAATGGTAGTTCGAATTAGAGAGCCTAATTCGAACTACCTACTCTGTGCCGCGTGTAGCCACGGGCATGGAGTCCGCACTAAGGGGGATTTAAAAATGGCGGCACCCGGCAAGATGCAAATGAAGCCCAGGATATTTAAATCTAGAGCTGCTAACTCCAGATTTTCCATCATCTTTTATACATTTTGAAGAATTTGTTTGTTTGTGCAAAATAAAGTCATATTTTGTGATTACCTACAGATACCAAATTTTGCATAAACAATCCCGCCACTTAAATTAGCTGAATATACTATTTTTTACACCATAATACTCTGGGTGAAATATGCTTTTTTCATCCTAAAAAAGACATGACTATTATGATTAGAGTTCATAAAAATATTTTCTAACAAAATTAAAATCAAGTTGCCTATACAACTGTCATTTTAGTGCAAAGAAAATTTTTACTGTTACAAATCACAAAATAATTCAAATTAGTTATGGAAAGAGTAATAGAAGCTTTACGAGTTTCTGATTCCAATTTACAATGTATGAAATTATTCAATAAAATGAACAGTGTCCGAAGTTCAAATCCTCCAAATTTAAAACTGTTTTTTACTTGCCTTTTGCAAGCACATTAATAAAAAATTCTACTACATATAGGAAAGTTCAAGAAATTAAACATAAGTGTAATTTATGCAAAAAGGCTTTGCCAGGTCAACAACGTGCCTCACCTGCTAGTCAATCTAATATAAAAGCAAGAGTCAACATTCTACTGCAACATGTCTCTCATAGCCTCAAGAGAGATCAGTGTGTCAAGCTAAAACCACTGGAACACATTCTCCCACATCTGTGTACAAACTGCACAGGAAGGAGTTAAAAACTGTAACCAAAAAAAAAAAAAAAGTTAAATACATTCCTAACATCAATATTCTTTGCCAATTAAACGAAAATGCCTTCCTTACTTTACGAGGCTTAGTAAATTACTAAATAATAATTTGGTCTATATATTATGAGCATATGTAAATTAATGACATCTACAAGCAATCTGACACAATTGCTCGATAGCCTGTTCTTAAATGGCCTTGTTTCCAATGGACAAGTTTTACCAGATTTAACTAAAATATGTTGGCAGGAACCTTAGCTAGTATTTTGCAATCTTTTTTAGGGAAGTCATTCATCATTCAGTGTCCTTGCAATCATCGGAATCAGTGATGTAAGAGGAGTTCTTACACTCCGTGCTAATAAATTATCCTTCACTGCTGATTCATAAATGTATATAACCAACTAGTTTTTAACTGTTCTTATAACCTTCATGGAACTCCACCAAGATGCCATCAAGGCCAGGATTCTGATAAGTTTGCACAGATCAGTTTGTCTTCAGTTCCTTCCTTATCTAATTGGATCTTCTCTTCTCACAGAGGAAACAAAATAGGTTAATTTATTCCTGGTGACACCAATTGCTAAGTCAGCTTAAATGTTTTTAAAATCTATAATTATCTTAAAAATAAAATGGGAAATGCCAATTATCTCTTGACAACTATACACATCCTAAAGCAGGAAGCAAGGAAAATATATTGTTTCCCTAATTACATATATCACAATGCTCCTTCTTAACACAAAAACCTTATATTATTGGCTAAGGAATACTACCAGTGAAATGCATGGCTGATTAATGACTGAGAAGAAATATCTAAAACCTGAACCATTAGGTATACACTGTAATAATTTATATATACACATAAGGCTACAATCTAGTCACACAAGGAAAGTCTATGTCATGTAAATGCTCGCAGTTCAGCTTGTATGAATATATAATATCTGTGTGGATGAATCCAGATATAAATATTAACAGCACAAAATATGTTGTCCTAATTGAATTCATAAAAGTATTCTGGAAACTGGACATTTTTACTCCGATGGATTTTTACAGGCTATGCCTAATTTCAAAGGAAATGTATTATTGATAGAACCTATCTATGACTAGAAAAAAATGCTGTTAGTCAAGCTCTAGATCTCAATCCAACCAAATTTACCAGATAAACCACACAATCTTAGAGAACTGGGAAGAACGAGCGTGAAGCAATGCAAAAGCGGACCTCAAGAAAAAGACTGGAGCGAAGAGATTCATACAGAAATAATTAGTAACCTGCACTGATGACTGGAGTCACTGTTGATAAAATATTAACTTTGAATCTCAGAATGCGGTTAATACAAACAGGAAAAGTTGGATTGGACTTTGAGGAATGATGTTTCAAGACATAACCGTAAATGTAGAAAAAATGAAGAAACCATACATGTGTTATGAAAGTGTCATCCATTCCCATTAATGCCCGCCCCCCACTTCTTAGAGCTCCCACCACCAAACCCCACAGTGCCAGCTTCTTGTTTCCAGAGCCCCACTGTGCCCAACCCCCTCAGAGCCCCTTCCAATGCCAGACCCAGTCTCAAATTTTAGCCCCACCCCCAGTACTAGCCCTGCCACCGAAGCCCCCAGTGCCTGCCCTGCCTCCCAGCCACCGAGTGCTGCTGCCCATGTCGCAGCTGCTCTAAGGCTGCCATGAGGGCTCCGAGCAACCTTCCCACCACACAGAGAACTGCTCTTCTGTGTCCGGATGGAGACCCTGATCCTGCCCCGGTGCTGGTTGGCTGAGAGGTGAGGCAGAACACACCTCTCCCAATAGCCATGGCAAGAGGGGAGGCGGTGGGCAGTGTACCCCAGCCCTGGCCCCCAGAGCCACCACAGGCCACGGTTTGCAGACCGGGCCACGGACCAGCAGTTGGGAACTGTTGTCCTAGATGAACCATGAGAAGGAGCTGTCAAGCAGCAATTAGCAAGACCCTATAACAACTGTCCAGGCCCTCCATTTTTCTATACAGTAGGAAGTGTTCCTTCCTTAAGGCTCCCAAAACTGCCTTCCTGCTCTGTACTGGAATTTAACAAATTCTGACTGACTTATACTTTGTAAGATCTTAGTTAACTATGTCACTTCTGAGATTCCACAACCCACACATGCAAGGAAGAGGGAAAGAAAATAGGAAAGCAAGTAAAAACCACCACCTTGTCGCTACCCCTTACAATAAGTGCCAGCAGCTGATCACATATGCAAGTAAGCAGGTCCTGCTGCAGTTCGAAAACAATTTTTTCAGTCATTATATGACCAGAGATACAATTCAAATCAAGAGAAAGACAGACACACAGAGGGGCTCAAGAAACTGCACAGTTTAAACAATATTCAAAACACCCAACAGGGAGTAGTAGCAGAGCACTTCCATACACCATTATTCCTGGAATGCTCTGTGTCTCCAGTTAGTTACATATTTTGAAGAGAATGTGGACTTCAGTGCAAGAAATGGCCTAGCAAATCAGAGTACCAACAAGAAACAGCTCTTGCATGCTTTCTTAAGAGAAGAAGTTAACGTTAGAGCCTGATCTTGCAAGTAAAAAGATCAGTATTCTCATGAAGCAGCCGTTGGAGCAGAGAGAGCTAGAGCACTATATTGCTCCTACTGAAGAACTATGAAGACTATAACTAACTACAGTTTTGTCAGGTAAAGCTGACTACATTGGAATTCATCTCTGAAATTAAAAGTGTATATAGTTTTGGTAGATTATACAAGTAATGGTAAATCCCATCCTTGTTAGAAGAGACAAGATATTTAGCACATAAACCACAACTACACAATAAGCAAACACTGTTGATGCTGTTCAGTGCTCTATTGGTCCAATGTTCATTGAGATAAACTACTATCTTCTGTTGGTTTGCTACATCTTGGCTTGGCACAGTCTGTTATTTTTCCACAGAGTGCAATGTTACGATCAATAAAACCTCAAAAAAGTAAGGCTATGCCTACACTTTAGAATCTTCTAACATAGCAACGTCAATTAGAGGTGTGATTTTCCATGACATTTCTATACCAGCACAAAAATGGCTTTGTCAGTACACTTTATTTCATTCACTGAATTGCTATAAGTCATAGTATTAAAAAACATTTCTGAAGATATAAGCTACATTTTCACTAGGAGTGATTACTGATATGGTTGTACAAGTAGGGATGTAAGCGTCTAATCGCTTCCCGCCTTTGCTTCCTGTATCAGAAAGAGGCAGCAAGCAGGAGGGAGAGGAGGAGGTGCTGGGAGGAGCTGGCTGAAAAGCCCATCTCCAGCTCTATGGGGGAGGGGGTGCAGCAGCAGCGTTCCACCTTTGAAATGTACAAGAGTCCCCACTAGGGCTCTTGTACATTTCAAAGCGAAAGCACAGCATGGAGCCTGCAGCGTTTCAGTCTTCGAAATTATCCCCTTTGTATGCATGTATCATTTTTGAAGATCCAGTTAGGAATATTGAACTGAGTATCTAATTGTATATTTGCTGCTTTGGGGTCAGTTCCATTGATTACACTTCAGGGCTGTGATGGCCCATTAGCAAGAGACAATGAAGCTTAGCCTTCAGTATGGAGATCATATCATGTGATAGTGAATTCATCTTAAACTCTGTACTTTTCCATGCGAAGCTGGGAGGGTGTTAAACTGAAACAAAGGTCTCCCAATTTATGTAAATCCTGTTTGAGGGCAGGGAGTAAAGTAATCTAGGACATCAGTTCTCCTCTGGGACCTCACCCAAGACAACTACTAGAAACACCTACGGCTGAACAGGAGGAAAGACTGTTCCCAGACTGGAAAAGTGTCCAGTCTGTGTTGAAATTGGAACCAAATCTAGAATGAGAACTTATGTGTATCCAGCTTCTTTAGTGTATTAAGCTTAGTTTGCATATTGTTTTATTTTATAGAAAAATTATATTTTTTGATAATTATCCAAATATACCAACAATGGACAAATAAGCCTGGCTCTTCTGTCAGGGCCCCTGCCTGCACCAATACAAAATATAAATTGCTATTGCAGGAAGGGAAGGGTGGCCTAGAGCAGTGATGCGCAACCCATGGCGGTCTTCTTGGGGGGGTCGCAGCGTTTTGATCCGGGCTGGCCAACAAAATGTTCCTGACTTGGTGGTTTTGTTTGTTTTCGGTTTTCTTTGCTTAAAAATTTTCCCCAGGTTGAGCACCACTGACCTAGAGAACAGTGCATTGAACTGCATCCCCGATTTCCTGAGTTCCAGCAGCAGAACTGGGAGTAATTGAACTGCATCCCCGATTTCCTGAGTTCTACTCCCAGTTCTGCTGCTGGGTGGCTTTTAGACAAGTTGCCTCATCTGTAAGGGAGGGAATACAGGGAGAAGGATACTTGCCCACCTTTGTAAGATGCTTTGATGAAAAGTGCTAAGTAGGACCGTGGTGGTATTGTGTATGCTGTTTCTAACACTACACAAAATGAGGGTTTTGCATATCTGGCTCTCACCTTTGATTAGTCTAATCCAGGGGATGGGCAATAATTTTTACTGGGGAGGGGGGCACAATGAATTTTGGTATGTGGTTACAAGCCAGTTTCACCCCCAAAAGGGGCAGGGCTGAGAACCAGCCCCACTCCCAGAGTTGTCTGGAGACAGAGGCTTTGAAGTGAAAACACAGAAAAAGGGCTTGTGGGTTCCAGCCCAGCCACTACCACACTGTAACAAGAAGGGAAAGGATGCACAGCCTAGAAATGTAAGTTATAGCATATTTCAATGTAGCAGTATGAATTGTACCTACTGAGGTTAACATATCTAGCTCTGTACATGGCAAAAATTGTGTGGTGTTTCCTTTGTTTTAGTTTGATTTATCTCAGTATTCTTAATAAGACTGTTAGAATTTCAGCTTATTGTGAAGCAAGATCATTGTGGTATATCCATTCAGGAAAGAGCCTTCTAGCCTCTTGTGAGAGACGACTGGAGAGAAATACCAATTCTGGAGCACTTCACAAAGAAAGCTGCTAAAAAGTGCAAACCTGAAGAGGAATGGGGAAGAGCCAGTTTACCACAAGAAGTGGCAAAAATAGGGTCTCAAAGATTATGACTTGAACTTTCTTTTTTTATATACTGTATACCTAACATGCACCTTGTTGGCTGGTGCATATGGACTCCCAGGTAATGGCATTGGGTTTTTTTATATAATGTTTTTAGATATTGTTTAGATACTATGGAGATGAGTACTAAAGAAAACTACATTTAGTAAGTGGCAGACGTGGCACAAATCTAAATAACTTTCTCCTCCAACAGCACAATTTGAAGGAGAAAGGGGTCTTGGTGCGTGGCTCTTGCCTGTAAATACCACCCACAGCTACCATTTGCTGGCAACGGGGAACTGTGGATAATGCAGTGGTGGGCAAGAAAGCCTCCGTTGGCCAATCTGTCCCAAGCGGTTTGATCCAGCCCGCAGTCACTTTGCACTACCATACCCCCAGAACAATCGAGACCTGGGAGTGCATGAAGTCTCTTCTCCCCTCCCCCCCAGGGTACATGGTGCATAAAGTAAACCACCAACTGTTTTGAACAGCTGGCAGTTCACTCTAAGCACTGTGTACCCCTTATAGGATAGGAGCTGGGGCAAGAGATTTTGCATGCTCCCCCAGCCCCGATTGGCCATGGGATGCGGGAGTGGGAAAGTGGCTGTGGGCTAGGGCAGCACACAAAATCTCCTCCTGCAATCTCTCTGGGCATAGGTGGCAACGAATTCACATGCTCCCCCCACTCCCAGGCCAATCAGGATCTGGGGGAGCACGCAAAATCTCTTGCCCTGCTCCCATCCCTTCTGGGCTGGCCAGAGACCACTTCAAAAATTTGTGATGTGGCCTCCCTTCTAAAATTATTGCTCCCCCTGGGCTAATGGGAGCTGCAGGAACAGTGCCAGGAGTAGTGTATGTGGCCATGTTCCCCCTTCCCCCATGGATCATAGGAGTGTGTTGGCCCCTTACAGGAACAGCATGGGACCAATACAGGGACGCAGACAGGCTACTGGGCTAGATGGACCTTTGGTCTGACCCAGTACGGACGTTTTTATGTTCTTATGATGTGGGATCTGGGCTGGGTCTGAGGGATTTGCAATGTGGGAGGAGGCTCCGGGCTGAGCCTGGGACTGCGGGTTAGAGTGTAGGAGGGAGATGACCAGCGTAAGGGCTGGGAGAGAGTTTGAGTGTAGGAGGGGTCTCCAGACTGGAGCAAAGTGCAGGGATGCTGGCTCTGAAAGGGTGCTTAGGGCTAGGGCAGGGAATTGTGATGTAGCAAGGGAGATGGGGTGCAGAAGGGGGTATGGAGTGCTGGCTACAGGAGGAAGCAGGAGTTGGGAAGTCACCTTCCACTGGGCAGCACTTATTGGGGATGGCCACTGGTTAGCAGTACAGTGAGACTAAGGCAGGCTCCCTTCCGATCTGGCTAGACTACATGCCTCCGTCGACGGAGGCATGTAGTCTAGACACACCCGGAGGGAGCCTGCCTTAGTCTCACTGTACTGCTAACCAGTGGCCATCCCCAATAAGTGCTGCCCAGTGGAAGGTGACTTCCCAACTCCTGCTTCCTCCTGTAGCCAGCACTCCATACCCCCTTCTGCACCCCATCTCCCTTGCTACATCACAATTCCCTGCCCTAGCCCTAAGCACCCTTTCAGAGCCAGCATCCCTGCACTTTGCTCCAGTCTGGAGACCCCTCCTACACTCAAACTCTCTCCCAGCCCTTACGCTGGTCATCTCCCTCCTACACTCTAACCCGCAGTCCCAGGCTCAGCCCGGAGCCTCCTCCCACATTGCAAATCCCTCAGACCCAGCCCAGATCCCACATCATAAGAACATAAAAACGTCCGTACTGGGTCAGACCAAAGGTCCATCTAGCCCAGTAGCCTGTCTGCCGACAGTGGCCAGTACCAGGTGCCCCAGAGAGGGTGAACTGAAGACAATGATCAGCGATTTGTTTCCCGCCATCCTTCTCCAGCCTCTGACAAACATCACCGCCCAAATGCTGACCACTTGCCCCAGCCTGGTTAAATTCAGTGAGGGTGGGGTAGAGTAAGCGACAGAGAGAGGAGGGGATGGGGTGAGCGGGGCAGGGCTTCAAGAAAGGAGCACGGTAATTCCTGGGTTGTCCTTAAATTCCAAAAGTGATTTTGGGCATAAACCAGTTGGAGATCACACCACTCAGGGTGCTTAATGTTGAACATTTTTGGGCAGGAGAAAAAATAGATCCCATTAACTGGAATTAACACAAGATACATATAATACCTTGATCCAACAGAACTGTTCAAATCCAGCTTAAATAGAAGTCAGATTCCTGACTGCTGGCAGTATATGGAAATGAATTCAGTCATCAGTTATCAGGTATTAAACAATTGTCCACAACAAACACCATAAACAGCTTCAACAGGCAGACTCAGCAGACAGTTCAGGGACAGAACAGTTAAGGGAGACTGAACCACCTTCTTCCCTCATAGCTGGTGTCTACAGGTCGGGGTTGATGCAAATTAGTGAAACAGCTGGGTCTGTGAGTAATTGTGGTTTTCACACCCAACACCATCACACTAGGTCATTTCACAAACATTCACTTCTATTTTTCACACAAAACATGGGCAAACAAGAATCAGAGAGGTACCCACAGGAAGAACAGCTGGCAATAGAGGGAAGTGCCTCTGCTTTCATCACTGGACACCTACCCTCCTTTGTCGGGTCTTTCCGTTTCTGGAGGCAAATGCAAATCCAGAGCTCCTCACCAGAGCTGGCGGCCCCAAGGCAAGGGAGGGAGATACTCCGCGACCAGTCTACCACTGGAAGTCGTGCAGCA